TCTCATCTTTTGATACAAGCCTAGCAACTGAAGCGAAAAGCTCGAGTGCGACCTTGAACTCAAGTTCCTTGATCTTCTCTCTGACGAGCTCTCTAATTCGAGGCCGGTGCTCAATTGTGGCAGGCGCGGCAACTTTTGGCATTGCCGGCACGGAAAACTTTTGGGAAGTGGCTGGAATAATTTCCCAAACATTGCCTACGAGCTTTGCAGTTGCAGGAGGGCATTGAGTTGCCTCAAGCCGGGCCGGTGAAGACTTCTTCTTTTTGCCCTTGCTGCCAGATGATGATGCTGGCTTTTCCTCCTGCTCCTTTGCTGCTTTCTTTGCTTCTTCCTCGATGATCAACTTCCTATCTTGAGGTCCTAACATCTTCCACAGTTCTGAGTCGATCCCTTCCGGACGCTTTGAACCTTTGTAGTTACGTACAATCCGGTGACCATCCCAATGATGTCCATCTGGAATAATTTCACCTTTGGGGGTCAATTTGAGATCTGGAAATACGGGCGCTTCGGGTGCATCAGGCTCGACATCGCTGTCGGCTGGTAGAGGCGTTCCTGGCTCGTATTCATACTCATCTTGTGGCGGATGCAAACTGGACTCAAGTGGCACAGCTTTGGGTGTCTGCGGAATGACCTGATCCTCAAGGCGATCGGCTTTGGGTGCTTTCGAGTCAATCAGAGCTTTCAAAGGAAAGATGAAACCCTCGGATGGCAATTCCAACCTCTTTGTTCTTTGGATTGTCAGTGCACCCCAATTGACATGATAATCTGCAGCTTCCAACTTGGCAACTAAGTATTCACCCTTCCAATCATGACCTGGTTGGATGTAATACCCAAGGAAAATTCCTTCATTGGCTGTTGGGGAGAGCTTACCTGATGTGTTATCCAACCTCTTGGGGTTATTCCAGAACAACACTTTGGCACCAAATGGAATGTGCATTGCAGGGAACTCTTCACCAAACCTGAGTTGCCATGGGGATTCACTGCCATCAAGCTGGGGGCTTGCATTGATCGCGGTCGCATGATGCTGCATGGCCAATGGCCACATCTTCAGAGGAAGTCCTGATTGCAACAAGTTGCTCCGGGCACCTTCCAACATCTGACGAACTTCGCGCTCAGCAAAAGACTTTGATGAATCTACATATTCAATGGAAGTTTGGTGTCTGTAACCCAAATCCTTGATGGCCCTGATCAATTCTGGGGAATTGTCAGTGTACACAACTTGAACGTCATCTTTTGATCCAATGAAGTGATTCAAACCATCAACACAGCTTTGTGAGTCCTTGGATTGGCTAGGGTAGACATACCGATATTGGGTGTGCAGATCTTTCAACACCAATGCAACTTGCTCCCCCCTGAAACCCTCTTCTACATTTTTCTTGATGATGACATGATCCCCAATGATGTGGTCACCAAACACTTCAGTTTCAATTCTCTTCTGACCACCTTTCTTTCGTGCCTGAGGTGCCATCATCCTTGCTCGTTGGCAGGTTCTGCAAAAGGGGTTCTTGGGGAAATGAGTGTATTGATGTTGGGTACTTGCAGCTTCGGCCAGCAAATCCTCAGTCTTGCGGCTTCGGATGTACTCCTGCTGGGCGTCATCCTCCACCAGCTCGTCCAGTTGCTCTTCGTCTTGGGCTTCGTCCCGCTTGGCTTTCGAGCTCGACCGTGAGGTCGGCATTGCAAACAGCTTTCTGAGGTGCTTATCCTTTTGAAATTGTTCTTTGGGATAAACCTTGCAACTATCATCCAAGATTGGGACATGACCTTCGATCTTGAGCTGGACGACCTTGTCATCTGGACGGACTAGGATTGGTTTGCCATTGGCAGGCCATACAAAACTGTAACCCTGATCTACACATCTTGTTCCTACGGAGAGCACAGCTGGGGTATGATCAAGTACATACGGATGCACAGGATCTGGCAATGCGGACAACTTGACATCAGCAACCTCATTTGCCTCGGTCGAACCATTGGCTGTGACTAAGGAAATCGGATGCTCGGCTGCACGGCAGTTCTTGGCGCTAACATCCCTCAGCATACCCTTGGACACAAGATCGGATTCACTACCTGAGTCGACAAGCCAACTGACGCCGGCCTTTGGCGCGGCCGTTGCAATTGACGGAAAACGACTGATGTCTCTAAGAGCTTTGGGACCGCTGATGAATCTGCACTCCTTGCATGTGATGTCACGTGTGTCCTCATTCCAACAACAGAACCCACAACTAGGTGCAACATCTGAATCATGAAGTTTCACAGTTTCTTGAAGCTGTCTTGCACGAACCTGAGCCTCATGTTGTTCAACCTTGGATGAAACTGGAACATCTTCAGCTGTCTTGTACACCTTAGTGAACTCTCTTGGACGGTGCTTGACTGGGACTTGACGACCAACTGCTTTCACCTCGATCACATGTGGGACCTTTCGGAATCTAAGACGCTTCATGCTGACACTTGACTCATCGGAGCACGAAGTTGCCTTCGGCTGTTTTCGGACGATGCATGCAAACTTCTGGATCAGGCATGGAGCGGCTGTGGAATCCTTGCTCTTCTTCTTGGGAGCGGGTGAATTGGCCCTTTTGGTGTCTTTGGTGGCAGCAGCAGCTTTGTCATCATGCTTATAAAAACATTTGTCACCACGTCTGCACTTTCCCTGGGCATGATAGATACATGGGGTTTTGGCCATCTCTTCCTTGGACATCTTCTTCCCCTTATCATCTTTGTTGCCCCTTGATGGTGAACGTGTCTTGTTTCTTCTGGGTGATTGAGTTCGAGATTTATCATCTTTGACATGCTTGAATGGACACTTCTTCCCCTTATCACAGGTACCCTTTTGGAACTTATAGCAAATTTTGTCACCTTTGCCACCTCGTTCCTGAGATCTACCTCGACTCGGAGAGCCCTTTCGGCCACCGCGACCATCGCCTTTGGCAGGTGCGGCCTTTGTGTCCTTGATCCCAGCCTTGTTCTTCTCCGCGATGCGGTTCCTGTTTTCCCTCAATCGTTCACGATCGATCAAGTTCTTCATGGGTTGGTGAAGAAAACTATAAGACTTTTCATGGGATTTCTCATGTGCACGGTCAAACACCTCGATGTCATATTTCAGCAACTGACTTGGTCGGATCTGCCTCAGCAAGATGTCCCTTAACACAGCATCATCAGGGGTGACAGCCATGCCAGCTAGGGTAGCATCCCATTTGTTGATGAATCTTCGGGGATCCTGGACAGTATCGCCTACTTTGACAACACCCAAAAGATCTTCTACTCTGTAAAGGCTACCTGCTTCTTCTGATGTCTTGAAGTAGTCCTCGAACATGAGCAGAACATACCTTCCCCTGACCTGGATGCCTTTTCGGGATTGTTGCTCTTTGAAATTCAAGATCCTAGTTGCGAGGTCCCCTCCGGCTGAGCGCGTGAGCGCTGCTGATAGCTTTGTATCCAGCGTGAGGAACTTTCCAGGATCTTGGAGTCTCTTCTCCAACTGCTCTCTGGTGCACTCTTGATCGTACACCTCATTGAGCCAGAGCCATGCCTCATCTGGGCGATCTGAGCAGCTTTTCACTTCATCCCTGACATGATTCTTCCAAGTCCTATACGACTCCGGAGCGGGCATGTTGTTCAGCTTGATGATTTCGGCCTCCTTAGTTTTTGGCTTATCCTTTTCTTCCCTTTGGGTTAAGGCTTTCACCAATTCAATAAGATCTGAGGGACCCATCACTTGCTGTTGCTTGGTTACGCTCTTAGGGGAGTCATTTGGGGGAGTTTTGATAGCTTCAGTGGGAGTGAAAAACCCTGACTGCGTTGGCAATTGGGGCTGGTCGTTGCCGACAGCCGGCTTTTGCTTGGGACTGCCACCTTTGAGCAGCTCATCCAACTTGGCTTTTGCTTCTTGTGCCAACACTGCAGGCGTTTTCAACTCATGAATCGGCTCATCACTGCCTTTGGCAGCCTGTGCATCGGATGCTTTGGGAGTGGCAATATTGAAGTGGGGCACGCTAGTGGTAGCGGCCGGCTCGGCGTTCTGGACGGATGCTTTCGGAACGGAGGCATGCTGCGCTTTGGCAACATGCTTTAACTGCTCCTGAAGGTCATCGATTTGGTCCTGAAGGCTAAGGTTCTGAGCCGCTGCCTCGTTGATCTTGTCGGCCATCTCCTTCTTGTAGTTCTCGAACTCGGTCCTCAAACTGATGAACCTGGCCTGATCAATTGCAGCCTGATCTTCATATTGCTTCTTTGTGGCAGCTATGGCATTCTTTGCATGTTCAACTGTCTGTGCATAGGAAGCTTCGAACTCACTAGTGATACGTTGCCTTTCCTCTGCAATTTTCTGATCATGCTTTGTGTTTGCCTCTGCCTTGACATCCTCTATTCTTTTGTCATGCGATGCCTGAGCCTGATTCAACCTGACCTCCAACTCGTCGCCTCGTTTCCTTTCCTCGTTGACGGCACTAATGGCCTTACCTTCAACCTCCTGCAGCCTTTGCTCATACTCCTGCTCTTGCATTACGAGCCTACTTGACCATTCGTTTCGAATTGAGTCAACTACTCCATGCATTATCTGAAGGTGCCTCTGTTCAGCTTCCCTCATGACTTGCAGGGTATTCCCACTAGTGATCTGGGACAGGTTGTTTTGTATGAAGGTAAAGTACGCTACAACGGGTTGGAACATTGTTTCGTCATCCATCGGCTCGGGGTTGCCCCCGGCCACATTGGGCACAGCAACAGCCGATGGACCTGACCCTGGAACGGCGAGAGGATGGTCAATTGGGGTCCCCATAGCAAAGTAGTGAGACTACGGCTGATAACCTGTATTTTACAAGGTCGGCCAACAATGTGGTATTTTACCAATGGGGTGACCTACAAGCCGCTAAGCACTTGGCACTGTTTTGAACCAACGCTACAGAGTAGTACGATGATATGTACAATACATGGTTTTACTGCAGGAGTTTTTACACAAACAAAGCCTGGTGCTGAAAGCCAACGAGTCTTCACTTTGGCCCAGCTGCGCAAAAGGCGCGCCAAACGTGCCACCCGTAGCAGGGTGGGATCAACGGGGAATGACCCGGAAGCCACGCTGATGAGCCACGTCAAGATGATCGCACCATCTATCCAATTCCAAAGTTGCCTCAACCAGTTGCACCGTACATCCAAACATACCCAAACAAACCACGCTTCTTTTCATGCTCTACGTGCGCATGTTTCTTGGCTCTCAAAGCACTGAACTAAGATTCAGGCCCGAAGAACTGCCATTTCTGACCCACAATTTTCACTAAAAGCTCCAAGGTGAACAGAACACCAAAGACATAGCCCAGTATCACAAAGGTTGGCTCCACTGAAATCCATGCAGCTTGATGGTTTGAGTTCAACGTTGCATATTGAAGAGAAGCTCCAACAGAGAGGCCTTCCCACTGGGACTCCATTGCCATGACAACTGCATTGATAAAAATACAGGCAGACGTTGCCAGGTCAAACATAGGATGTGAGACCAGCTTCTCTGCGAGCTTCCATATTGATCTCGATTTTCCAGGATCGTGTTCAGTCTCAGCCTGCTGGACGAAGAGGTCGTTATCCGATTGCTGACGTGGCACCACGCGTGCCCAAGCACTCTTTGGTTGGTGTTGCAAAGTGGTTTGCCTTTCTGCAGGTGCCTCATCACTGTGGATTGACTGCGTCTTTAGCGTCTCAATCCTGTCCGGCCCCCGTGGCGCTTCTTGCACCCCTTCCAGGGAACGAATCTTGACGCGCAGTTTCTGGTTTTCGCTTTCCAGTCGACCAAGATCTGATTTGTGGACATCCCAGAGCTTTCGCACAGTTTCAGCAAAAGCGCCGGATTTGTCCGGCTCTTTGAAAAATTCCATATTTGACATTGGCGCAAGGCGGCTTGAAACAGGCTTGAGATTGAAGTGCTGATGTGGCAAGCGTTGCACCACTCCAATGCCGTTTATTCATGTTTATTCATCTTGCAACAGCCACAGGAGGTCTGGTTTCAGCTGACTCCTGTACTTAAATATACTTAAATTTAGGCAGGAATCAAATCAGCAGCAGCAATGACCAAAGTGACAAGTCAGTTTCCGGCCTCAGTTTCCGAGTCCACTTCTGCCATGGTGATGGCCTTGGTTCCATGACATCCATATCTATACATTATAGATATATATATATATATATATGTACATATACACGTACAATTATACACGTATTATCTCATATGTATACAGAGAATACATATAAAATAAAAGTATGATCATATTATCATATTGGATTCATATATGTAATCCATATTGCAATATGTGATATTACACAAACATCCATGATATGTCGAGTTTTTCCCAAAGCCAACCTTGTCCTTTGAAGAGAAAGGCCCCGGCAGCGTCACCATCAGGTCCGTTGAGGGCATACCAAAGGGTGCGAACATTTTCTTGGAACCTCAGTCCCAGGAGCCAAACTGAGAATCTTCAGGTTGTCACCACCTGAATGCGGATATCGAAGACCCATTGACTCATTGACCTACATAATAGCTCTTACCTGACCTATTCTATCCGTGGTGCATTTTGGGACAACTTTTTTCCTTACCGCCTGCCGTGACGCCAAAACCCTTTGGAATGGCCATTGATGGACCTCACAGCTGCATGCTTGTCAGGATGAGTCCTCTCAAAGTTGGGCTTCCGGAATTTCCTGCGATGGCAGTACAACTGTAGCCTTGGAAAAAAAACATCCTGGTGATTCTGGTGATGCAAAAACAGCCTTGCTGCTTGTGTTCTCTCTGGTTGAACGTTTGCCTTCCATTGCCTTCCTACACTTTCCTACACTACATGCCAAAGACGTCCAAAGTTCTTGATTTTCTCACAGTACAAGTCCAAGAGTCAAAACTAATCCAGCTTATTCCAGGTTTGCACCTCGAGACAGGTCCAGATTTCGCCAAAAGTGCCGCTGCCTTGTGTTGCGAACAGGGACTCTCGGGCAAAATGAAGCTGACATCGTGAGACAAGTCGTACTACCGTACATACTACAATCGTACTGCAATCCAGCTGAACTATGAAAAGATCCATAAACATCTGTGAACTATATCTATGAAGTATCATTGAACATTAGTGCTGAGTTCTTGCAGTCATTTTCTAGGCCTGCAGGAACCCCTGCAACAGTCGGCCTCCTTTTCGGGCTTGGGAAGCTCTTTCACCTGGAACAAAGTTCTCGTGCGATCCACAATGGAGCTCCTCAGTTCTGCACAGCAAATCTTGCAGCCAAAACGAAGGCAATTGGCACCTGGCAGCTACATTGAAATTCCAATCAGCCCATGCTTGCCAAGCATCGCAGGAAGAACCCCTAGTTCGCGAGCCATTTCCACACCTCTGAATCAGCTGATGCTTCATAGTATTTGTGCATTGCAGTTTACGGTTTGGTAGTTGCAATATTGTTCCCCAAGGAAAAAAAAAAGGTGCATGTTGAGACCGCACTCTTGGCAAAGTTGAGGCTGGAGCTGGTCCGCCCTTGCGTCCAGATCAGTGTCGGAAAACCTTGGCGTTGGTTGCTTTGACCCCAGGGCTACTTGCAATCACCATCTGTTATCTGCCACCGGTCAGAGTCACGATAAGTTGATGCGAGCGACGCGTGATTCCAAAGTCGCCCACTACGTCTGGATTCTCTGTCACATCAACAACCACCACTCGGATTGTGCGAAGCAAATGTCGAGCAGCAGCTGCAAGCTGTTCCCTGAATCATGCTGGACGGTTCAGGCTGCAGTGCAAGGGCGAATGTCTAAGCGACTCTCAACACAGGATGACTTCAATGTCCTGAATCTGAGGTACCGTGGACTTCGCGCTTCCACAAAAGACACCAGTAGTGGCGCTACAGTGTCCTTATCCAAGCATCAATGCTCCGATAGTAAAAGCTTGCCCAAGGTTACTATGTCGGACAGCTGCAACTAAAGTAACTAATAACTAACTAAAGGTTGCTCTAGCTCTGAACTGTGTCGAGAGACTGCAGCCATCTCTGTTTGAAGCTGTTCTGCTGACAGTGACTGAATGACTCCTGTGCATCAGAGCTCAATATGCTCAATTTAGATGGGTTTCACAAAGTCATGACTGATGCAAACTGATGGGCATCTCTAATCACAATATATCAGAATCCCAAGTCCTGGTGTGACACCCTGACGGATGGGACTGTAGGTTTGCTCATTCTGCAGCTCCTCCAACAGGGCCTACAGTCACCCGAGAGAAGTGCTGACAAAATTATGGGGTAGACTCCGGGTAGACATGGGGAAACGAAGAACAACTCTCATCGTGCACCTCCCGGAGACCTTGTACATCAATGCAGGAAATCACCTTGTGATGGCACCTTGGAATTACAGAATATCAAAGAATGCTGTCCTGGGGTGTACTGGGATGTACTGGGCATGACCTGACCAAGGTTGATCAACGTCACACTCCAAGTTGAGCACTGCCTTTGGTCGAGCTCTTCCATCAACCTTCTTCCTTGGCAAAGGCAAAGCTGCTGGATGCTGCTGGCCCTCCCTGCTGCCAAGATCTGTGAAACGCTTCGCTGTCCAGGGGCGACCAAGGCCATAGACCCACATTAGTACATCCTGCGGAAGTCCATCTCTCTCCCGCTCATCGAGCTGACCATCCTTGATCTTCCTGCGGCACACCCAGCAGACTAGGCAGCCTAGTCAAACTGCTATCAGATTATCAGCGAACGGCTTGCCCCCACCTGACTCGATCCACGTCACGAGAGCGCAAGTAGTCGGTGACGCCATCCACATTCCGGAGGAGCAAATCTACCTAACCAATCAGGGCAGTGGTTTCAGCATCCTACTGATGGAAACCTCTGCAAATCCATCCCCATGAATGCAGCCGGCAGACTCGACCCCACGATGGGAAAGATTTCTTCACACCATACCTGCAAACAGTTGGCAAAAGCCCTGGCCACTTCAAGTCTTCCTTTGATTCCATTGACACTATGTCTGTAATATTGAGAAAAAAAGTCTGTATCCGTCCTCCTGTCACTTTCAATCCAAGGCACTTATCTGGCTCATCCAGTTTGGCATCTTGCCGCAATAGCTTCTGGCCAGGATTGGAAATCCGAGTGCGGAGTGCACTGCCACCACCTGTGGTTTAAAGATTTTTAGGGTTTAGGGAAATCCATTGCGCAGCTTCATCAATCCACTGAGTGATTGATAGGCAAAAAGCGCCTGGAGCAGACATGATTTCGTTGTACAAGTTCCGGGCAGGGTCTGCATGCTCATCCTGAATTGTCCCAATTTCCACAAGACTACACATGACAAGTTTGACAGCGTCGAAGCTGAGCCACCGCACCTCGTACTTGGCCATGCCTATCAAGCCAAATTCAGATTCAAATCAAGTTTTTTGCTCCAGTCAATATTTGTCATACAATGTTATACATAGTCAAACGCATGAGATCTTTAGCAAAGCACAAGTGACAAATGGTGCACATTCCAATGAAGCTAGGCCTGCATCGTCTTGGTACCACCGTCGACCACCAACGTTTTTTGGTGGTAGCCATCTGGCATCTTTTCGGATTGTCCAGGTCATGTTGGTACCTGCCATCAATTTTCAAAAAAAGAGGCCGCAAGAATGTTTCCAACTGCCAACATATGCCAACAATGTTTCCAACAATTGCCAACTGTCCAACTGGCTGGTGAACCACCACACCTTCAAGCGGCTCCATGAATTGCGCTCCAGCATTGTAGCAGGCCTGGAGAAGGCTTCAGTGGGGCATTTTGAAACCGTTAGGCGACTATATCATACTGTATCGATGAGAAACAACTGCACCTAGCAAAGCAAATGGAAACAAAAGCAATGCCTGCTGCAGCCATCGAGTGCTCTCTGCAGTGAAATTCTCAGGCAACAGAGTGCCACCAACGAAAAGAAAGGGCAAACCTGAAGTCCTGAACAGTGATTGGGTCCCAGCTGAGAGCAAACAAGGCAGTGAGTTTCCCATGTCAACACAAGTCCCTCACTACGAACGCAGTTGCATAGGTTCCAGTAGCTAGGAGTTTACTGTAAACCGTCACTGGGTTTCTCTGTCTAGTGCCACAATCTGCGACGTGGTTCAACGGTACCCTCCTGTTGTAGGATTCCAGCTGCTCTGCAACTGCAGTGCTAATCGAAGAGGCCAAGCGGTCCAATTCGAGTTCATCAAAACGTACGCAAGCTCTCTGCAAGGACTCTTTGGCCTCCTCAAGGGCAAATCACAAGCCCAGCTCAGAAGTCAGCACGAAGAAATTGCTGGTACACGCAAGCTGATATCGGAGGCTTCAAATCTCTATCTCTGTGAATATCTGTGAATTGTACTGTAAGTCCCTGAGTAAGTCATCTCGAATCATCTCGAAGATCATCTCGAATCATCTGGAATCATCTCCCACAAGTTTAGAGCTTCCAACGCTGTCCTGCAAGCTAGAACCAGCTGTCTGCGAGATCAGGAGCACGGGGCTCTTTGAGAGCTCCTCCAGCAAGATCAGCAATATTCCAACTTGTATTCAAATATGAGTCCAAATATGAGTCCAAATATATGTGCAAATACTCCAAAGAACGCAAAAGGAATTCTGCATGTAGCTTCCCTCACCCAGAAATGAAAGCCACATAGCCTGTTGCAACCAATCCGCCGCCCAGTCAGTGGCTGATTTCGCCTCCAGTGCAGGAAAGAACCGATTTCTATGAGATTTGCCGTCTGGCCTATCACGCCACTAATTGCTCAATGTGTGATCTTGCAACACTTTCTGGACTTCACCACTTTCTTGCTTGCAGTTCCTTTCCATTTGGTTCAGGGAGCCTGCCGCTGGTGTGACGTCAGCATTCTGGTCCTTGCTTCAAAAGCTGCAAAGCCAAATAAAACATTGATCATCTCATAGGAATTTGACATGAGTACTTGCCACATGCACCATCTAGGTGTTCGTGATTTTTTAGATCATTTACAGTCATGAACCACAACATGTGAGTGACTGGTCTTGATTTCTTTGAATCAGAGTCCTCCAGGGAGGCGTGCCGCAGAACGCAATGGATGCCTGAGGGAGCTTGCCAGTGTACCATATCTTCGTTCGCACATGTCTTGATTGTGGCAACTGTGGTTCCCGTTGCGAATGCATGGCTTACATTGCACCAAAAGTTGTTATAATGCTGAAGACTGGTATGTCCTAGGTCAATGCGTAACAACAAGAACTTCACCAAACGAGTTGTGGATAAAACACGTGAACCGTTCAAAGAATATTGCAAAGCCTCTGATCAATCTGGTGAAACCTGCAAGTTATTTTGGTTAGGAAATTTCATCTGCAACCCCCTGCACTGAAATGCCACCATGAAGCAGTGGCCATCCCAGCCAACCAGGTGGCCCTAGCAGAAGGCAGCATCCTGACAGTCGTGACTCAATTTGACTGGCAATCGGAAGGAGGGTGCAATCTAAACGAATCGTAAGGCTGACAAAAAATGAAGAAGCAGGATCCTGCTTTGAACAGCAAGAAACAGGAGAGAACAGGCACGTTTCCAAATTCAGTCCTTCGGGCAGAACTTCTTTTCCGTCGAGGCGTCATCGCGAACAAAGCAAATAAGCAAATAAACCGTGTTTTCTGCTCTTAATCCATCATGTCTGGTGATAATCCTTCAACTCTAACACGTGTCTAAAATGACTTCCAAATGATCTCCTGGCAACTACTTCATGTCTATACTCAGTTACTCTGTGTGTATATCTATATATTACAGGCATTTATGGGAATCTGGCTGGTCAAAATTGGTTGCATCTATTGTCACTAGCAGCCGTGTTTTATCGATTGCAGCCGACTTGTGAACTTGGTCTGCAATTTCTTGTACGTAGTCGTTTGGTGTCTTTTTGCGCTTCTGAAGTGCAGAACATCTTCCGAACATGTCGTTTTCATCTCAAATGTCTGAAAGCGGGCCCAGGGGTTCAGGAAAATCGTAGAAATGAGCCCCTTGAGGCAAAGAGCCATAGATGGCCAACGAGGGGGACTAAAAATGACAAGACCCAGACGCTTGTGCCGCACTTGCCCCGCGCAAACAAGGAAAATATGGGTATGGGTCCTATAGATACATGTTTAGTGGGATGAACGTCCATTTACCAGCTATTTTGGGGTTCACTAGGTACCAGGGTTTTGACCCATAGCCATATGGAAAATGCTGTCCCGTGTCTCCTTGCAACCTCGATGCGCCGATTGATTTCAACTAGGCCCTCGACCCAAGTTCTCGACATCGCTGGGCCAACTGAGGCAGAGTGAGCTGACCCCGACAGTCAGGGTCCTGGCTGGCTACTTGGAGGATTACAGGCCACTGGAGGACATGCACTCCCTGTGTGAAACTGACAGCTGCGGGTCCAGCAAATAGCGCCTCAGAGTTTTCTCCCCAGCTGTGTCTGGCGACGATTAGTCTGATAACAATTGTGTTATGACGACGATATTAATATCTGACTTCTTGCTTCAAAGCTGCCATGCTCGAACAAAGTTCCCTCCTGCGAAACAGGCGCGTCAAGTTTCAACACAGGAACAAAACCAAAATCAATGTGCAAATGCTTGTCTGTCCTTTCTCAAGAAGCATCTGCTTAAACTCACCTGATTTGAATGCACAAAGTTCCGCAAATTCACATTACCAGAAGTCCCGCTGGGGCTTTCACCGACCACTTTGTCTCCAGCGGGTCCAATCGCACTGCACAAGTCATGAAAAACATCAGGGAAAGTAGTTTCAAGATGTTTCAAGCATCTTCAGTTGGCTTCGAAACGATTTCAAAAAGCTGTGGGTCGAAGCCCAGCCACCTAGCTGTTCAAATCCCAAGAGTGTTGCTAGAATCATTTATTACACTCTATAGATAGTATATTGCACTCAATAATATTTTTATATATAATATATATATATATATTATATATATATATAGATATTATATATATATATGTCTATATATTATATATATATATAATATACATTAGGCTTCAAAGCTCACTCTTTTTAAACTCCGGCGTGTGACTTGAAGGGTTTGCTAGTTGTGGACGCACCACAACTATCCTTGAAAGAAAAGGCTTCATTCGAAGCTCGTATTGTTGAATTCTTGTTCTGGGCCATGGCAGGCCTTTCTTTGACCTTTAAAGGTCAGCTTTCCAACAACGCAAAAAGACCATGGCAGGTCATGTTCGGTTCTCTCTCAGACCATGGCAGGTCAATTCGAAAAAGTTTTGCACTCAAAAATTGCACAAAAATTGAAACTCTCCACGACCCCTTTGCTTGACACAACGTGTTGACATTGGCAAGGGTTTTAAAACGGAAAGAAAAATTAGGAATTGGAGAATGGTTTCCACTGCTGCAGGAGTGCACGGGCCTTTGGAGTAAAACTCAGGCCTGGAAGGAAGGAAAGCCCATCAGTCAGATATATTTTGGCCACACGCACTGATTGCCACCTGCCTTTAAGCAGTGCCAACTCCATGCTTCCTGTTTCCTGAAAAATTGCTGTTGCTCCTCCACGACGGAGCGAATACGGTCTGAAAGCATGTTGCTCTAGATTGAATCTTCGCATGTAAAAAGCGAACTTATTCCTAAAGTTCGCAGCAGAGGTGGTCCAAATGGGAACAGCAGAAAGTCCCTGACCTTTCCGTAAAATAAGGCATTCTTGTAAAGCCAAGAGTGTAAATTCATCTTCAAAAACCACAGACTCGGTGGCAGCGTCTCTTTTTCCAGTCTTTGTGAACTCAAGTGTGAGAAGTCCACGCTCTTTAGACAGAAGACAGTTACATGGCTTTAAATTTAGAATTTCTCCAGTCCGAAGCAAAGCGAAAAATCCCAATAATATCAAGCTTCCAAAAACTGAATCATTGTGCACTATGGCATAATTGGCAACGGAATAAATGATGAACTTTGTAGTGGCGGAGCGCGGGTTGGCGATTCCAGCTTGCGCCACGTCCTGAATAGGCGCCATGCAGATGGAATTAAACGCTTTGTAAAAGGTTCAAAATGATGGAGCCCACACAGCGCATCATTTATGTGGTAGAGTGAATATCCATCGCGCCATTTTTGTTCAACCCAATCCGCCACTGCATCATCCAGTTCAAATGAATTACCTACAGACTCCAGTACCGGAAGCAATTCCCTCACTGCATTGTAGTAACGCTCTTGCGTTCTCTCAGAGATTGAGGCATCATGTAAAACAATATGCAGACGTTGGCGGCGGCGTTCTCTTTGTGTTGTTCTTTCCAGGAATCTAGGCCGCCCTGCTGGCATTATCAGTTGGATTCTCGGTCGATTCTACGTGTCCCAGAATCATTGTCAATCCATGTGCTAGCAAATTCGCATTGAACACTTTCAGGATTCGATTTAGGAAACGGCTTCCGCTGCGACCCTTTCCAATGATCGACATGCAAATGTAACTGTCCGTCACGTGGAACAGTCGACAGTTGACACATTTAAGGTGGGAAATTGAATACATAAGTGCTCTGTGAATAGAACGAAGCTCCAAGCAGTTGATATGTTCTTTGTGCTCCCATCTAAACTTAAATAAATGTTCCCAGTCCCACCATTTGGCTTCTATACTTTGTCTGGGGTGTGCTTTTGGGTTCATCAGTTCTCCCGTAGCTATCCGCACATCTGATCCTGTGTGGTTGACCTTAGTAAGAAGGATCCTATTCAACACCTGAGGTTCATGGTCAAGGTTTTCTCCCATCACTGTTCCGTATTGCAAATCTCTTTTGAGTGGAGCAAGAACCCGCCAAGGTGCCCTGAAACCCGGTGCTAGGCCCATTCTGTTTGCCATATGTCTGTAATGAAGAACCGGGAGAAACTTCTGACACATAGCGGCAGCAGGGATAATAAATGAAAATATGCTAAAACAGTCACCCAGGAGTGATAACCGCACATTTTCAAAACGCGCTGTGCTCTGCTTGATGTAGCTGGCGCTCCAGGCAAGGGATGTGTGACCATAACCATATCCCAAAAGCAGCTCTCGTTCAGAGCTGTCTGTCAACCTCCATTTCTTCCCCTTCCAAATAATATATTGACTCATATATTGATATGGAGGAAATTTGTACTGTTCACTGCGCCATCTTTCAAGAGTGTCTTCATCACATCGGTTCAAGCCAGCTGGGCGAGGTGGTGGCCTAGCCCTAACAATGGCTCGGAGACACGTGGGAAACACTGTCTCCCACTCAGCTCCCGGCCAAACACATCCAGGTTCTAACCATTGCTCGGGTGTAGGATAAGGTGCTGCCGCATCCACTCTGGTCCAGTAATATTCATCAGAAAAACATAGGCCCTCCAAGGAATCTTCCAAGGGTTCACTGCACCAACATAATCTCGGTCTGTTAAGAGGAACCGCGTCTGAAGAATTCAAATGATAAGGATGGACTCCCAACACCTGTGATATTTCTTCGCACTCTGGTTTCCCCATAGATGCCACATTTTCACCTGTGAATCGCACTACGATTTCGGATCCGCATTCCTTGCGAACAAGCTCAATGATCCTAGGAACCTCATAGAACAGTTTTGATTGTGATCCTGATAAGCCTTCACGAAAAGCCTTAACTGCTGTTAAATCCGTACAAGGGAAACCTGCCCAAATATGAATTTCTTGCAGTCCCACGTGCTTCAATATCCAGCTTCTCACCATCTCCTTTGACAGGGCTTTGACGTCTCCGTGCTGCTCTGACTGAGGCCACCGGCGGCTGCAAATCCTGTTTGCTTCGCTGTTGATTTCGAAACTCACTATGGCCATCGGGGATAGTCCCAACACGTCATAACAGTGGAAAGCTCCCCCGATACCATTGAAGAGGGAGAGAACCAAAACAGGGATTACTGAGGAGAAGTGTTGAGACCGGAGAGATGCTTCTACATATTCTTTTCCGCAGGCACTCAAGTTTCGGGCGATCCCAACTGCCCCACCAGTGCTTGAAGCATCAGATGCCGTTGCGACATTTGAGATCGCAGCCCCTAGGTTAGTGTGTAGTAGAGGCAGGGCACATAAACAGCACCATAGTTCTCTTCTGACTTTTATGACGAGCTCCTTGTTGAACTTTGTCGTACCTGTATACTCCCAGGTTGCTTCCAGAAAACTCATGCCAGCTCGTCTAAACTGCAGAAGGTGTACCCATCTACCAGCCAGTACTTGTACTTTCTTCTTGGAAAGGTGTGTGCTCCCCAAAACCCAAAGCGTTGCGTGTACCAGTCTTAACATGCGTGCTGGGGAGGCACCCATAGTCTGTTCAGACCCATTGATCATGGCACCAAGTTCTTCAGCTTCCAACACCCCATGCTTTCGCTTTTTCTCTGATGAAATTACATGAGCCTCTTTCCATGCTCGTTCAGCAAGTTCATGCAGTCGATGTCCTTCCAGGCTTTCTTCGCTCGGCCCCACTATCTGGCCTCCTGCGTAGTTGTCCAAATAGACGTGCCACCATGCTCTTTCTGACTTTTTAGACTCCTTCAGCAGGCCTACCATCCACAGTGGCAGTGACGACTGCCGTGCAATTTGAGCTTCTCTGGGCAATGAATGCAAGAGTAGTAAATTCTCACTAATCTCTTGCATTATTGCCACGGAGGAGAGCCATCCCATCGGCAGCACGCAACAGGACAAGACATAATCAATGTCATCCAACATCCCCAGGGCTTTACCAGAACGTACTACGTTAAAGGAGAGAAAACTTTTCCATTGGGGAGGCAGCCTAAATAGATAGAAAGCATTGGACATATCTGATTGCCAAATCTTGATTGACAACCATGACGTAATGCTGGGAAGATTACCAGTTGCACCTTGCAATTGTAACATCACGCTGTTTGAAGCCACGAGATTCATGATCACTCTCAGGACCGGTTCTCCAGAAGATATAACGCTGGATTTTGGGACCCCAAAAAGCCCGTTTAGCACGGCTTCACCTCTATAATGCAGAACTTCTGATTTTGGCGTCCAATCGCATACTCCACAACGTACTAATGCGTCAGCCACTCCATCCAGTTCTCCCTTTTCAACATGAATCCGACCCTGTAATTTTGGAAGTGACTGCCCCGTATCCGGCAAAATGCACAGCTGGGGGTTTCTCAAAAATTTTTGGGTGGTGACAGAGAGAAAACCCATTAAATCAATAGACCCACCATGCTGAGGAGGAGGAAGAGCAGGAACAATTTGACGGAGACTAAGCTTGTGGCATGTTCCTACCTCTTCCCCAGAATAATCAACTCGCGCCAGCTTAAGGTCTTTTTCTATCGCTGGCACGTCCACAGCACTACCTTGGCCATGGCCTGCAAACCGTTTGGTCATAAGGCCTACGGCACCTGCTACCTGTCTTTCTGCCGCCGTCCATTGTCCAGCGGCCAAGGGCCCTAACTGGCCACAAAGAAAGTTACAGGCGTAGCATGCAAGGTAGGACCAGCATGCCTGAGCGTGTGCTCTGCAGAACTTTTCGCCGACTGCTTCGAGTAGCGATACCTGCTTCAACCTGCATTCAACCCCAGCCAGATCACCCACACGGATAGGTAGGGCCACACGCCTCTGCTTGGCCCGGAGCCACCCGCCGGAGTGGTTCATCATGAGGAAATTCAATGAATTGCGAGCGTCGGCGGATTGCCAGCTCACGTGCAATAGAAACCACGCCAGAGCGCAGCCAGTTCTTTCAAGAGAACTGCACTCGGCGAGGATCTCGGACAACTGAGGAAGAGGGGGCGCGGCCAAAGCCAGCCTGCTCTTGCTCAGCTCTTGGGTTTCTCTTCGGGCTTCTCCTTGTCGGCGCCCCAATCCTTCCTTTGTTGGGTGTTGCTTGCTGCCCACTTTCCTTTGCCCTTCTTTCCTTTTCCTTTTGCTTTTCCATCGCCTTTCTGATCCCCGCGGGAATCTCCATAGCCCCAATCGCCTTTTCCTCGGCCTCCTTTGCCAGCGCGAGGTCCTGAGTTGTTCCAGGAGCCGCTTTGGTAGCCCTGAACCTTGGCTACCAACTTCGCGTGGCGGCGTGTAGCAAGGATCGCCGCTGCTCCCGCTGCCGAGGCCTCCTCCATCGGGTAGAGCTCGAGGTGCCGAGCTGTGGTCCATGTTCCATCCACCAATGATTGATGGAGGGCCATGAACCGGGCCGACATTGCATCGGCTGCTCTGGCGATGTCGCCTGATCTCATCAGGTCGATGCTGACTGCCAAGTGATGCATCTCCCTGAGCTCTCGCAAGTGACCAGGGTAGCTTCCCTTCACCGACAGGTTGAAGTAGGACATCACCTTGACGCCCTTCATCATCTCCTCCTTCGGACCTGCCAGGTTGGTGAGGGCTCCCTGATCCAGCTGCTCCCGGACGTGCGCGACCAGAAGGTTCAGCACTGAACGGGGGCAGTCTCGAGACTTTTTCTTCAGTGGGGCTTCGAGGTCGGCATCGGACTCCTCGTCCTCGCTCTCTGCATAGCTCGAAGTCTCGTAGGACTCGCTGCAGCTGATGATCGTCCCATCTTTCAACCTCCTCCTCTTCTTCTTCTTTCTCCTCTGCTCCCCTTCCGGGGCTTTCGCATCCTCCTTTGACTTGGTAAGGATCTTCGCGAGCACAGTTGAAAGCTCTTTCACTGGAGTCTTCTTCTGACGATCTTTCTTCTTCTGTTTCTGCTTCTGAGACTGATTCGCCGCTATAGCGCGCAACAGGAGCTGCCCGCTCAAGCTCTTCGAAGTAGCTCCTTTTGCATCCTTTTGCTTTTCGCGCCGGTTCAAGCGGCCTCCATCTCTCCTCTTCTTCTTCCTCGTACCCGGGAGCTCGGCTAGAGCCAGCTCTTCCACCCGGGGGAAGCTCTGCTCCAGTTTCCAGATCCAACTCGTCCACTGCAGAGTCGGAACCTCCGGGAGAGTACCCACGGCTCAGCTCCTCGTCGGATATCGACTCGGGGCGCTCCCTCTCCCTTGGTCTCTTCTTCTTTGGGTTTGCGTCGCCTTCTTGCAGCCTCTTGCGGGTCTGTCGCAACTTCTCCCCGAGGGCCTCGCGATCGGCCGGCGTCAGCTTTGGGTCCGCGGCTGCACGCTTTGGCAGCCTTTCCTTTTGGGGGCTTCCCTGGCCCGTCTGCTCCTTTCCGTGCACGGCGAGGGCCAGCAGGGGGAGCGGTTCGAGCAGGCTTCAACTTCTTTTCGGCCTCCTTCATTCGTGCCGCTGAGATGTAATCCTGGACTGCGGCGAAGCCCCCAAAAGTCCATAGCCTCACCTTGGTGGCGTGAAGGTATGTGTCGGGAAGAGAGTTCCCTTCTACTCCAGTATCCACGCATGGGGAAGATAAGCAGAGGTGAATCCCGCAGTCGGTCAAGTTGAAGCGGATGTCCAACTTCTTCCCCAAAGCTTTGTCGGGGCACCCAAGATGAAAGACGGTGAGCACCACGGACCCATCCAGCCTGTTTGAAACCTGGAGGATCAAAAAGGCAGCCCACTCGTCGGGGGCATCTTGTATGTCGGTGCTCGGAAGATACACCTCCAGCACCTGCCCCCTCGTGGGTGACATTGCGCTCCAGCCTCTGAAATCTTCCATCGTAATAGTCTCTCCTTCTTCGGCGTCTGCCATCTCTTAATCTCCTTTGCAGAGCGCGTCTCCACCTCTGGCGATGGATGACAGCTCCAACCAAGCAGCAGTTGCTTTGCGATGCACCACCTTGTTGGGGTCTTTGGCCAGGCGGTATAGGCGTTGATGTTTGCGGCCTCCTCGACGGGTAGTACCTGTCTTTCGTGACCTTCCTCCTCGATCGTCTCGGTGTTCTCGTCGTCGGGAACGTCGTGGACGGTCTGCACGGCTTTTGCCAGCAGATCTTGTCCTGTCAGATCGACGTGGACTCCTGTCCCTCACTCCAGCAGATCCTGGTCCTGGCGGTTTGCGCTTCGGCTCTGCTCCAGGGTGTTGCGGTGGATCTTGCGCTGGCTCTTCTTCCTCCTCCTCTTGGAGGTCAGACTCGTCCTCCTCCTTAGTGCTCCTAGGAGGGGGGCCAGCTGGTTCAGGAGGGCGACGGCGAGGGAGCTCTTCACGTCTCAACGAGTGGCCGGTGACTGTGCGAAGCACGGGATGCAGGCTGAGCACGGCCAGTGCCAGCTCTGGAAGCCCGCCCAGCTTCACTAGCCAGTCCAGCACTGAGAGACCTCAGAGACCTGACGGGTGACGTTTATCACCAGGTCAGCCGCGATTACCCTGACACCTGGCACAGAGCTCCCTGCCTAATGCCTCCCAGGCGGTGCAGGCGTTGCACCAAAGGTCACCCTCACTAGCCGGGCTCTGACGGCACTTTGAGCACGGAGGAGGGGGCATCAACTACAAACCCCTAAAAGACTGACCCTTGAGAAGAAACACCACGTCGTTAGATTGAGTTTTCAGCCTAATCTTCAAGAAGAAGACCTATGAAATGTATTGAAATGTTAGAATCATTTATAATCCAGTATGGGAATTCCTATTAGCCTATTAACCAACCAGTAATAGTAACAGATTGTGAGCTGCTGAACCGCCCAGCCTCGCGATGGATTTGGGCATCGGTGGTTTCTCTCGGGCCTTCGGCGGAGTCTTCGATCGGACCTCGACGTTGTCCTGGTGCGAAAGAAGGTCGGATACCAACGGTGATCATGCCATGATTTCCCTGCTTCAAAGGACCATGTTGCCACATGTTGCCACATGTTGCTGGTGAATGCTGATTATGTATCCAAAACATCTACGCCCGCTTCCTCAGCTCTGAGATGGTCCAGCCAGTTGTCATCTTGCGCCCGCCGTATCAGCTGTGCCCGCTCGTATGCCTTCACTGCAACATGCTACAAGGTGCTATAAGATGCTACAAGATGCTACAAGATGCTACAAGATGCTACAAGCCCAACAAACGAAAGGTTCTGCGCGTCATGCGTTCAAGACTTGAAATACGCCCGGAAAGCTGTGGCTACGCTCCAGCCTCGCTTGAAACGCTGCTGGGATTGTTGGCTGCAAGACGTTTTTGCGCAACAAACTTTGCACTGGAGTCCTGCAGAGGGTGTAGAAGAGGTGCAACATTTGTTGGGCTCACTATGGGCAAATATGCCAGTGCCAATGCTCCAACAGCGCTCCTGTGTTCTCTTCACGGCTGCCATCCACTCCTTCCTGCAAGAGATGTTTGAAGACGGAGATAGCTCCAAACCAATTGACCACAATGTATCATCATGGTATCATCATGACTGATTCATTGCTATTCCTCATAGTGCAGTTGTTTAATGCTGTTTATCTTTGCAGTGCTCCATACTGTTTTGGAGGATGGGCTGAAACCACCAGCAACACCTCCGTCGTTCCCTTCGTCTTCCCGCCCTCCTTTGCTTCGCAGAAAGCTCTTTTGAAGCCTGTGACTGCTCCAGCAGGAAGCTGCCTTGCAAAGTCAAAGCGTTGAAGAACTGGCATTCAGAAACCAGATTGATACGTATCGACACTGGCATTTAATATATTTTAATAAATATATATAATATTTAATGTGTTCTTGTATCTTCTTGTCAAATATTCTTTGCACATATATCCTGACATAAGATGACAAGAGTATGCAAAAAACTCTCAGAAGCTCTCACAACTGCGCCTGTTATCTGAGACTTGGCTTGCTCCACAGTCTGCTTTTTCACCCCAGCGGCCAGTGCACGGGCTCGGCCAATCTTTTGCCGCTCAGTGCCTGAACCAAGAGACAGGACAATCACATTCAACTGTCGTTCAACCACTGTCAAACTTAGAGACTTTTGAAGCACGTTATAGGCTTTGGGTGAGAAATGCAAAGGAACAAAGGACCTTAAGGGGTCTACCTCCAAGTCGTACATTGGCATTACAATATGTACAATCATGAGGCCACTGCAATCATGCCAAGAAATCTGACTGACTTCGACATCTTGGGACCTTCAAAATGCAACCAAGGCTCTACACTTGGTAGCCGCCAATGGACTTCCAGTTCGGACATACCTCGACCAAAGCCAAGTCTTTGTCGTCTTGAAGCCAAAACTAAAGTAAATCTAAGGACCATTGCCACACCTCGTCTGTCAATCCAAAAGTGCGCTGCTATTCTGAGTTCTGTGCACTGGAGGGGGACTCACGGATCGCGCCTGATCATTGTAATGAGAATCAGTCACGGAACTTGTGAATTATCGGTAGTTCACCAGACTACCCGGGGTGAACACCAACGAAGAATCTACACCCTTGTGTCGAACGTTTGGACATTGTGTTTCATCTTGACTTGTAGCGAAATCAAACGACAATTGCGAAGAAAAATCAGGCAAACACAAGTATGATGCAAAGATGGGTAGCAGTCCTTTTGCTTCTCCTCTGTTGTCAGTGGCTGTGTGTTGGCACGTCGAATTTCATCACCTGTCCCAAAGCGTCAGTTGAACCAAACCGCAGTGGAGCAAATGGCAGAAGTACAAAGGTACACAGGAGTTGCGACCGTTTCCACGTTGGCCTCGAGCACTACTCAAAGGTGTTCCACTCGGAGTTTGACGCTCTGCTCTCGGAGATGCCTCCAAATCTGTGACACCAGAAACTCCCAGGGCCCAGTCGTCACATGCATGGCCTGCTTTTTCGGCGAAGGTGTCCGAGACTTTCCTGGCCGTTCCACCCTTCGATTCCCGAGGTCCCACTGAGAGTCAGCTCCGACCTTGCGAGTCGGTGCGCCCTTGCCGGGTGGGACTTGGGCTGGTCGAGGTCTTTTCTGAGCCTGGCGAAAGGCAGATGAGGAATGCTGTACGAATGCTGTGCCAACCTCGCCTCTGTCTCGCCGAGGACTCGCCTAGTCATGATGGAAGCTTCACCGGTGGACACGACAATTGCAGTGATGGCTGGATGCAGACTTCAATTTTGCAATCAGATTACGCTTTTACGTTTAAAGCTGCAGAATCTGCCATGATGTGTGCCTCAATCTTCGCAGCCCCAGTCCGTGGCTTTTGAAGCCTATCATCCTGCGGGCGTGATCTCATAAATCTCATCGCTCTCGATGGCATATAAGAATAATATAGAATAATTAAGAATATAAGGTCATGTGTCACTAAAAGTGAAACCAAAATGTCGCAGAATCTACATGCCACTCTTCATCGTACGAACGCAACACCAGAAGGAATGTTTAGAGTTTGGAGAGCCTCTGGAGATGCTTCTCGCCTCTGCATTGAGAAAAATTAAGGGCAAAGGTTGTGAGCCAATGTCAAAATTGCAAGCACTGCACGCACTGCAAGTTTCAAACGGTTCCCCAGCAATGTTTGCCCTGACATGTCTCACCGTCGACAATATTTGATATCCATGTTTTTGCAACTGTTGCTTTCTGTTCCAAAGTGTTTAACTAATCCGGCCTTGGTGAACTGCCACTGCTGTTGCTGACTCGAGACAGGCGCTTCACCGGTAAGCCTCCTCCTCCACCTTGATGGACGGGGTGGAATGGATTCCGCTCAATCGGTGTGTCCTTGATTTTTGGTTGCTGTGGGCTCTCCGCTGAGTCCCTGTATCCGATTTTGCTCTATTTTGTTCTATTTGTTTGATTTCAGATAACACTTCTCTTCACTTACCTTTCTCAGTCTTGCAGGGGCTTGAAATCGATTGGCATCGAGGGGACTGAAGTGCTATACACAAACTGCTCAATCAAAAGAGTAGCTCCATCAAATTCCAAATTCAGTGAACTTAAATGTAGCATCCTGGGGTTGACACTGGAGCTGGAGCTGGAAGCTCGCCTAGGTGAAGCTCCTCGGGAAGAGTCCATCCCAAAAGAACGGCTAAGGCGGCCAAGTCATGTGTGAATCCCAACAGAATGGTTTGGCTTTCTCCAGTCATGATCTCGCAATCAATGGAAGATGCGGCAAAAGACTTGCTGAAAAATGTTCACGGGGATGTTGCCGTTAAAAGACGACAGTAAGGAAGCTATAATCTCAAGCAAATTCAGAAAATGGCTCGTAGGTTCGAGAGAACATGCAAATGTAATATGCTTGGACTCGGCTTCGAAACGATCCCATTCAGAAAAAGAAAACTGTTGCTTGCTGCTTAATTCCTCCCATCTTTTTTCCAGGGGGCTTCAAGAACACCTGTGTTCCGCTCCTGCATCGCCCGCATCTTCCATTTGAGGCCATATTCCCAGTCAGCGCTGCACTGATTGATGGAACAGATCCCGTGTGGCATGTCTGGAAACTTGGGACTGGACTTTTCAAAAGACCATAGTTAGAAGGAGTTTAGTTTAGTTGGATTGGTTCTGTACAGAATCCTTGAATCAAAATCAAATAGTTGATTGGGTTCTGACCATATCTCGCACAAATCTGATTCCAAACATCCGAAATCCCAGTGCTTTCTCACTTCATCATTTCACCTGAATCACAGGGCTTATATAATTGTTTTGGAGCCACACGGCGGGCAGCGCACGTGGTGAACAAAATCAACATGATTGACTAGGATTCCAAGTAGCTGTGCAAAGTACTTCAATAGCCGAAGATCTTCATGTCCAACAACCTATGTGTTGATATAGATTCATGTAGAACTAAGTTGCAGTATAATGATAAAAGAGTGTACAGAAATTATATAATCGATATGATTCAATCAGTAAAGGAATCTTTCACTCTCCAGATGATGTAGCCAGTGAACAGAAAATCAAAATGTCTGTTTAAATGTTTTAAAAAATCAAACAATCATAGCGAAACAATGTTCAACATACTCCAGAAATGTTGTTGTGCTCGTTTTCCTGCAGGCAACGGCCTCACAAAGAATCATTTCCTGAGCTGTTATGCGGCTGCGATGCCAATAAAATCCGTTCATTCGTGTCTGTTCTCTCAAAAGGGAAAACGCGTACTTTGTGCAACAGTATAACTGAGGCTGGAGCTGCTTTGAAATTGCATGGCGACGAGTGATGCTTGGCCCCCGCGGGGGCAGAAATCTGTCTGCATGAAGATTGACACTGTCGTCAACCCATTCTCCAGTCCTGGCAAAACTCTGACATCTCTCCACCAAGTCTGAGTGCCGAATATTGGGGTGTTGGTTGCTGCACACGTCCTGTCCTGTGGAAATGCAAACGGCGATCCACTATTGTTGTCTGGTTCGCAGTGTGCTTATCTTGTTTCCATCGTAGGCGATTCGGCTCCGTGTTGGGCCGCCTTGGACCAGCACAAGCATGACAACGGCACTGTCACACAAGAGCAATCATGCAGTCCCTCCACACATGCAGACAAGGCACTTTATCGCATACTTTGAGCGCTTGCTCCTATAGGAAGAAAAGTCTGAATCAAAGCCATCGATGCGACTGTAACATGTCTGATTGCGATGCGTGAAGTCATATGTGTGAGAAGCTTGATCCATTCTGCAGACACCCGCACAACCGCAATACGTACTTACTACAATCACAATATTGCGATTGGTCGAAAGAGTTTGAGGCTGAGTTTGGCACCCACGATTTTTTACTGGAAGGAGATCGTATTGGCCCCTCATGCAGGTGTAGTTGCAACCTGCCAGCATTTCAGCAGAAGTCCTTTGCCAAACGGCAAGTAGCAGACTGAAAACATGACAGGATCACCAATAATCTCTCGGCGGCGACCACCTCTGACCATAACCACAGAGTGTACCTGCAAACGCGCGGTTTTAATTCCTTGGGATATCTTGGGATGCCATTTCAACAACAAAAGCATGCTGAATGTGTGCCTGGAGATTGTGGCCCATGCCAGGAATGTAGGCCTGTGACGCTGAAAGAAAGCTCTTGAGTTCTGAGAGATGCAGCTACCAGCTGTACTTGTTGCATGAACCTTCACGATGCGTCCATTGGAAAGGCGGACATAGCAAACCTCAACCGTTCAAAAGCGCGCGCAGCTGAACGCACAGGCGTGCAAAACATTTCGCCTGATTGCCATGGCTGACCTTATTTATCAGCCTCATCCTCAACTTCCTCAGACTCCTCACCTCCTCTCTCATCATTATCAGCACCATCACCACCATTACACCCAAAGCTCCACCCAGCCATGAAGCTTTTCTTTGGCCCGAGTTGGGCTTCTTCGGAGAGGTGATAAAAACCTCGAAACAAATGCTTCAAAGATCTTCAATGCAAAAAATGCAATCTGTCAGAAACTTTTTCTAATGCGCCCTGCCTTTGTGCAGACGCCCTTCCGATTTCCAGCGCCCTCCAGCCATTTTGACCGCGGGTTGAAGCTCCACTTCGGTATCTGAGTCGGACGAAGAAGGTTTCAATCTATGGTTCTGAGAACTATCAGAATCATCACATGATTCGATGTCACATCTCGAAAAAAATGCTCTTTTAAGACACTTAGGACCAGAAATACGTGATCTTGACAGGAGAAATATGCAACACCGTCACCACCCTAAGGTGCAATGAAAATCAAACACGACCGATGTCACTCAGCAATCCACCATTTTGGGCCGTCGCTTGTAGAAAAGCCTTCCATGGAGGTTCCTCCACACTGGCTTTCAAGCAATCAGGCATCACCGCTCCAAAGCAATCTAAGTGGGATGCAAGGTTGACATGAGCCCACGTCCTTGTGGCAAATTGTCTGCAGCTTGCGTTGTAGATTTTGATAGGCATCTGTGAACTCTGCAAGAACGGAGGTCCAGAAGCGAAAGACAAATTTCTCCGAGATAGAAAGAACGGAGGGAACGGAGTGCTCAGCCGACCCAGAAATGGCCAGGACACACCACCGCCTCTGGCGGAACTTGACACGCCATGTCTGACGTGTGAGATGCTGCAGCTGGACGCTTGAGCGAAACTTTTGGACAGGGATAAAGCACGCCGCATGAAATCCATGGCTCGTCAGAGACAAATCTGAAGTAAGAGTTTCTTTATGATCCCAATTTACCTTTGCAACACTTCGATTGTCCCTGTGCTCCCGAAAGAAAGAAAACATACCTGTGTCTGCTCGTGGATGGGAATGAATAGACAACGAGCTCAAATGCTAGTCTGGTTGCAGTGTTTTGAACTTTGAACAACTCTGGGTTCAATTATTGACCTAGAAGCAGTGCAAAGTATTGTCAGTGATGCATCGATTTGGTTTGATCCAACTTCCAAAATAGGGAGTTGTCAGCTCAGAAGCCTTCAAGGCTTGCGTGTCGCAACTAAAAGAAGCGAGGCGGCTTCACCTTCCTAGTGATCTGTACACCGTCCAATAGACTCGGTACATGTCTGGGTGCATCAACCCCCAATCAAGTGACCTGTTAGCCATCAAATGGTGCCCAACCACTTCAAGAATTGACCTGAATGCAAGCAAAGACTTTTCTATCTAAAAGGATCAAGCACGCCGCGTTGCCATTCATTGCTACTCCACCTCACATCTGTCACAAGACGGATGGAGGCAAGCTCAGTGTCCTTTGTCACGAGTCTGACTTCCAAAATACCCAGGCTCTCAAGCGCTGATTCGGGTAAAGCCAACAGCTTTTGCAGGCCCACTGTTTTCAGTTCGACATGATAGGAGCAGGGAGAAGGATCGCCAGTATTGCCACTGGTAATGACCTTGCTTTCCTGGCTCTCCAGTTCAAGGTCGATGGGGCGCTGGTGGTGAACCAAATCTGCAATAAACCGAAGTTGCCATTCTGCATGTGCTACATCCAACGATGTCCGAAACTCAATTTCCAGACCCAGCGGAGCACTTAAGGAACATGGCCCATGCGGTGAAGCAGCAATGCGGAGCACCTGATTTCAAAAACCAGGCTGGGCACAGCGATGTTTTGTGTCAATGGGGCCCTAACAAGTTTGTACGGTTGCGATGAATTCCATCTTCACTTCATCTTCCAGCTTATAGGCGAATGTTAACATTTGAAGGGATGCATGTCCAAAATGATGTTTCTGAATCCTACGACCTCCACTGCGCTCGGCCCAACGTCGTCAGATTTGGCTGTCCCATCCATTGCACCAACAGCGTCTGCATTTCAAATGTAGCAGTATTGTCTACATTTTTTTGTCCTTCGAGATGTTGAATTCGATGGTGGCATCAAAGTACAACTCTGTTTGGTCACATGCCTGTGTGGTCTGCCATTCACTTGCGACGAAGTTTTGCCGATCACTTGCGACGAAAATATAGCCCTGCCTTTTTGCTGATCACTTGCGACGAAATGTCTGTGAAACCCTATGAGTTGCCTGCTAATTGCGTGCAAAGCAGGACATAAAACGAGACCATGAGCCACCTTACAATGCAATTGTCTTACATTTTACAACGGTTCTATCTTTTAGGCTTTTGAAGGATCACAGCTTCGCTACCACTTCAAGAGGGGCAATAGCGTCCTGATAGGATCAGCTAGAGCTGCCAGCACTAGTTTTCCTCTGTCGGCCAATAGCCAGTCAGTGCAGCGCCTAGCTACAAGCTATACCTCTATATCTCTCTCGTGCGCCTTGACAGCGTATATAAACTGCGCTCAGTACTCATGCTATGCCCTGATAGGGTGAAGTCCAAAACAAAAACATGGGTGGGGGTTTAATATTCACACCACGTGCCAACCCTGACAGTAACAATGGTTCTACCTTTTAGGCTTGTGGGGGGTGGGGGGGTGGGGGGGTTAGGGCTCACGACTGTCGATGGTTCAGGGTGTAAGAATGTTTCTTATCGTCCGCCAATCCTGAAAATACCAATGGTTCTACCTTTTAGGCTTTTGGTGGGGTGGGGGGTGGTTTAGGGTTCACATCATGTGCCAATACTGACAGTAACAATGGTTCTACTTTTTAAGCTTTTGGAGGGTGGGGGGGGGGGGGTTAGGATGGTTAGGGTGTAAGCGTGTTTCTTATTTGGGGGTGGGGGGGGTGGGGGGGTTTAGGGCCCACGACTGTTGATGGCTCAGGGTGTAAGACTGTTTCTTATCATGTGCGCTGACTGAAATACCAGCGGTTCTACCTTTTAGGTTTTTGGGGGGTGGTGGGGTGGGAGGGGTGTAGGGTTCAAGGGTCGAAATGCACTTGGGACATATCACAAGAGCCACTTGATACGGCAATTTACAGGTTAAATACAGGTTAAATGCCGCCGAACAGCTGTGGACCAAGACCCCGACACAGACTTTGCGGGAGCCTACAGAGTCGGCATGCACGTGCACAAGAGCCACTTTATACGGAAATTTACAGGTAAAATGCCCGAGAACAATGAACAGCGTCACAAGCGACGAGCAAAACAGCGTCACAAGCGACGAGATAAATAGCGTCACAAGCGAACTCCTCAACTGAATGTGCAATTCCAGCTCACCCATGGGTGCCACTGGCAATGACGTAAGAACTTCTGTACTGTCCAGCTAGCGTGGCTATATCTTTGCCTGCAGTTCAAGAATGTTTCAATCGCATCTATGTTTGAGCTAAGCCGTAAATTACGGAAGTGTGTAGAAGTGTAGTACTTCGTCACTAAACTCTAATCCAAAGCTGAGAAGCTTCAAGCAGTCTCTCTGCAAGCTGGTTCTGCGCAGTCTTTTCAAAGAGGCCAAAGGTCATTGACACTGGACAAATGCTGTAGCAGTTTGCCGGTGACAACCCTGAAAGCCATGTGCGTTCCTTCCAAACAAAACAACTCAAAATGCTGAAATTGCTTTGACAATGACTCATGTATAGCGATACCATGACATAAACTCTGTCATTTCAATAGATCTGAATTTTGTTTGAGCGTGTGCTCCATTTTTGGATTTGTACAACCTGCCGAGCAGTGCCCTCCAAACTGAGGGTCTTAAATCATGCAAACGTCTCATCAACTGGATCTTCCGGCAGTTGGTTCTCCTTGCATCCGGAGCGGGGCTGCTTGCAAACTGGATTGAACCATCAGTGCAATATGCATTCATGCCAAATTGATTTCAAAGCATTTGACATTTCTTTGATTTTCTTTGCAACAAATAATGGGATGATTCATGTCTGGTTCAAACCCTGCCTGCTTCCTCTGCTCCAGCTTTTCTTTGTCCTCGAGTTTCTTGACCTCAGATCAGACACTCAGTTCATTGGAGCTAAAGTTGCTTCCCTACGTACAGTGTGGCCTTCTTTCCACAAGATACAGTGGCTATGAGCTCTTTGTGCAAAAGGAAATAGGTTTTTCGCTTTCACTACCTTTTGAAGCTGGCAAGTCACATAAGGATTCTTGAGCAGTTTTCTTGCCTGGGCCGAAGCGAAGTCTTCGTTCAAAGGTGAGGCATGAGGGTCATGGTATGACAAGACCAAGCCTGAACCCTGAGCGCGGTGGGCGACATGTAGTGTGGATTCAGGTACCTTCATCGCTGTTTGGCGTGCCGACACAAAAACGGTTTGATGATATGACGAATGGCACAAAAGCAGAAAGGCAGAGACTAATCGAAAAAACTAACAAAGAAATTGAGAAGACCTCAACAGAAGCACCGAAGAAGGAGACTCGGAGACTCTGTAGAGTGTAAGTCTCTGAGCGCACAGAGTTTGTCCACTGAAGCTTCCTCCGAAGATTCGGATGGGATCAAGGACAAATCGTGGCCCGATCTCAGTGAGGACCTTGGTGGCCGAAGTAAAGTTGCAACAAACTGCAGCAGCACCTTGTAGGACCTACAGTCTTTGGCAAGGCATTGGCAATGCTTTAGCAAGGCTTTGGCCTGCTTCTCAGGCTTGTTGGCATCCTCTGGCGTCTCAGGTGAGATCTGGTAATGCCTGAACCTTGACGAGAAGCGGGGTGGCTTGGCTTGGCATGGAAAATATTTGTCGGAAGATGTTATAAAGAAAGGATGGGTTTCAATTTTCAATGTAGATCTCGCCAGGCTTGGGAATCGAACCAAATCTTCTTGTCCAGCCTCAGTTGAATGCGTGAGTCACACGTCCGCTAGTTCACTAGCTGCTAGCTGCTTGCATCGTTCCAAACTCTTAGAAGCAGGCCAGTAAAAGCACATGATGTGGTCATGGAATGGCTTGCTCTTGGGATGGTTCCGCGGAGTGCCAAAAACCTGGCAAGCACAAGTCGTCTGGGGCCGTCTGGGCTCAAATCTTTCAAGAAAATTGCCCTCGCCTGTGTGAAGACTTCTTTGATGAGCTTCAAATAAGACACATTGTTGAAGTTCTTGTCGAAATACCTCGTATCTCACAAATGTCCCTAAAATAAGCGCCTCAGCACAAATCAATAAATGTCCCACATGTTTTTGTTCTCTGTGGTGCAGGGACCAGCATCACAATGCGACAAATGTGATGGATTCTGACAGTTGTGGCATCTCAGAATATCTGTACTCCTAGCTATCGCATGCGTTTGCCAACGTGCTTACTCTCTGCTCCTTTCTCATTTTATTTCCACTCAAAGTGGGCATCGTAAGCTGGTTTGGTTTGGTCTCCTTGGCTGTGCATGCACAACCACTGTATTTCCACGCAACATGGCGCACAAAATGGGCCGTGAGCCGAGCAAACAATTCCCAGCCTCAATGGCCAGCATCCAGTTCGACAACAGAGCTGCAAAATAAAATGTTCAAACAAAATTCTAGGCCCCGCACTAGCCTAACCTCCTGCGTTGTGTGAACATTGAGCACCTTTGTAAGTGGTTTTCTGCATCAAGTTTTCTGTCGTTGGTAGCTTTGCAAGAAGTACAATACTTAAACATATCCTGGACTACGGCAAGAGGTCAGGCGCCTGAAACTTCATGCTTGGCCCAGATGGAACTCGACCAACCCACAAGTACCTTCCAGATGGTCATCATGGTCCGTACGAAATCAAGAGGCTTGGAAGCTGGCGAAATCATGCGAAAGAATCGAAAAGATGCCAAAAGCTTCCCGTTTTGGTCACAGGTCTTCTCGTTTCCGAGCTTCGAAGAAAACCACGTTGTTGCAATTCTTCAGCTCGCAGATCTGACATTCCAAGTTGCAAGAGCAGTGGCTCCAGGAGCAAGTTGTGGGTGTCAGATGGTGTCAGAAAAAATCGCCGTGAAAAACGTCAGAGATCGTCAGAGCATCCCGGAGTCCCGGGTTGTGTAAGACACGATGCAAGGCCTCGTTAATCTCATTGAAGTTTGATCTTTTCTCAGATTTTGCCTCCTGGCAAGAGAAGCGCAGGGATCAAAAACCAGCAATGCGAAAGCTCCACAAATGTAAGGGCAGCCAGCTTGACCGTTTTGTGGTGGGGCATCATCTTCCGAATGTCATCGCACAGATGTCGGAACCTCTTCGGGGGTTGTGTGTGGGCCACTCCCCTCTCTGCCTCATGAACTCATCATTGCTAGCTCGAGTCAGCTCAGACAAGAACTATCATCAAAACAGCCTCAATTAACTCTGAAGCTAAATGTTTTGAACTTTGACTTTCACTTGCTTCCTATTGACTACAATAGATCTATATTGTATACATAGACACATGTTCAGATGGATTACAACTGACCCATAGATAGATTGCAAGTGATGCGGACACATGCATCCACCAGGCTACAGCTACATCGACGAGAAAATTTACAAGTATACAGTATACGTAAATATGAGGAAGCACTGCGTAGAATCTCCATACCAGGCCTTGACTTCCCATGTTCCAACATGTTCTAAAGCTCCATTCAACTTCACCGTGCCAAAACCATGCACGAATGTAGAAACCCGCAATACAATATGCATATGGGTCATTTGGGGTGGGGGGGTGGGGTTGGGGTGGGGGTAATAACGTTCATGTCAACTTGAAAACACATGGATTGTATGGTGTGCTATGGGGTTGGGTTGGGGGGTGGGGTGGGGGTAATAACGTTCATGTTAACTTGAAAATATGTCATGCTACTCTGTGCGATCTTCTCTTGCACTTGCACACGTACGTCATGCTACGCTGTGGGGTCTTCTCTTGCACTTGCACACGCACGTCATGCTAGGCTGTGGGATCGTCTCTTGCACTTGCACACGCCTTTGTGTCTGGTCTTCTCTAACAGCCTAAAAGTGACGTGGACACATGCATCCACCAAGGCTACAGCTACATCGACGAGAAAAATTACAAGTATACGGATACGTAAATATGAGGAAGTACTGCGTAGAATCTCCATACCAGGCCTTGACTTCCCATGTTCCAACATGTTCTCAAGCTCCATTCAACTTCACCGTGCTAAAACCTTGATCTGGCCCTGCCCTGCCTGGCTGTAACCCCGCGACTACAGAACACAAGGCTTCGCTGTTTGTTGCGCCATCTTGTATCCTTCTGGATATACCTGTGCTGTATCTATACTGGATGATGCACGGAAACAACCAAACACAGCGAGGAGTAAATGCAAATGTTCCCTGCAGGATGTGTACAATCCAGCTTGGAGCACGTTGCATCTGCCATGAGATACCTTACACACCCGAGAAATCAGCGAACGACTTGTTGCTCTGAACCACCAGCCAGCGATCCTGATCAATACAGCAAAAGTGTTTCAACTTGGGGCAAAGCGGATCAGCCTTTTCATCATTCTCTGGGTCCTTGCAAATGCTAGGGTCAGCAGGATCAACTCGGCACTTCAATTGATAGAAAAACAGCGCCAAACGCGCCGTGTCTTGAGATGTCAGATCCTTTAGCGCAGCTTCAGAGCGACAAGTGTTTGGTCGCCAGAGTCAACCCTACTTGCCACTCAGTTCCAATAGGGCCTCAGGGTCAGCAAAAAAAACATATTCAGGATAGTTTCCCGCCAAAGAATGTTACAGGCTTATAGACTGAGACCGTTATAAAAGTGTGCAGAAGAGTATTGAGGCACCCACCCATGTGTAAACGGCCGATTCTGGTGTCGTTGGCTAAGTGTTTGGAAAACCGCATGATAGGGTGAGCAGTGGAGCTGGGTGTCATTCACCATGGACCAAACCTGCCAGCCTTGTGCACCTCCCGTGAGGGCAGGCTGCGCTGGGTCAAGGCAGCGTCTAAGGACGCAGTCCCCGTCGTGGAAGTTCACCAGATTGCAAGAGCTCTGCTGACAGCTCTGGTGGCAGGCGTCCAAAGTCTCACCATTTCCGTGTCCAATGTAAGGACAATCCCCTCCCAGAGCCACCTGATTTTCCTTCCATTTTATCCAATCGGACTCCTTTTTCTCACGCAGTCCATAGCCACGATGAAAGTCAAAGAAGCAGGCGGCTTCCTCAAGACGATCCTTCATCTCTGCAATCTTCTTCAACGGAATGCTTCGGAGATGCTGCAGCAGTTTCTCCCCCACTTCCTCTTCAGGCCATTTGATGCTGAAAGCCTCAGTGTTTCACAGGGCCAGAGAGTGCCACAGCCTGAGCTGTTTCATGCAATAGAATTGCAGATAATACTGGAACATACAAAAAAAAAATGTTGTGTTCTTATGTATTGTCCTGCCAAGTATGGGAAATCAAATTACAAATTAAGGAATAAGCCCCGGCAGCCGATCAAGTTTGAATCCTGGCCTCGGGAGACCACAACAGAAACATCTCCAACCAATCCCCCACCCACACTGGAATCTCCTGAACCTTGTACAACCAGCCCGGAACCCGCACCGGAAGCTGCACCGAACCTTTATCTTATCTGGGCTGAGACCCCCTGACTAACGCGGTTGGGGGACAAAATACTACAAGACAGTAGTCAGAAGAAACAACAAAGCCTAATGGCAAGAATTTTGACCACCCTGTCTCTGCTGATAGGATGTTCACAAGAAATATGAAGAAACGGTCACTCCATACCGCGTGCAACTTTTGGAAGTCGCATGTTTCTGAGATTTTTCCAGTAGGCAAGTGGCAGTCCAGTCGACGATGCCCTGGAAAGGTACAGCCAGAAAGTCTGAGAGGATCACCGGGATACCTCATGTAATTAACACTACCAATAAGCTGGCTCCAAGACAGGAAAGGGAAACTGGCCATGGATTTCTCAACACTCAACCAATACACAGTGGGAGATTACTGTCCATTCCAGGACTGGACCCAGTCGATGAAAATGACTACGCCGCGGAACAGCCAAAGAAGAAGCTCTCGTAGAGGTGGATGGTCCAGGCCTTAGTCCAAAAATATTCAGTTCCAAGCACCAGAAATACGAAAAGCGTGAATATGGACATCAACATACATCAACCATATTATCCATATTTATCAAGTTCACCATGCGATTTCAAAACATTGTAATTACAAGCATTGTGTTGTCAAATCATGACATATGCGGCAGCTACCTAGAGTCAGAAGTCTGTGCACCCCGGCTGATGAGCCACGCGGGACCAAACAAAAATGAGTTCGACCCATTCCTCGGCAAATAACACCAAGCCGCATTACCTGGCGTCTCAGCGCAGAATTTGCTGCGAATTGGGCCAAGGTGCGCTCAAAAAAATCGCCAACTGGACCACCCACGCTGCAATCAGGCAAACCAGAGAACGAGTTCAGAATTCGAGTTCGCACCTGCCAAGGAATAGTAAAAAGTCTGCTTGGCAGGTCCGGTGTTGAGCATGGTCCCCTCTTGGTCACAGCTACCAGCAACTGTTCGTGACTTTCCCATGGGTCGTCAGTATCCACGCTGTGTGCAAGTGCTGTGCTTAGTCTCTTGGCTGTCATATTAATGCGCCATACTACGCATCCAAGCTCACAATTTCACCTGTCTAAACAACTTGCAAGTTCAACCACCTTGGATATCCTGTCTGATCACTTTTTGCTCTAGCTCTTGCGTCCAGTGCTAGCGCTCTGCGCTGGAGTTGCGGCTAGGATTGCTGGCACTGCTTTGCAGCGCTTGCTGACAAGCCCTGCACCTGAGAACAGCAATTGTATTCACACTGGCAAAAAAATCGAAGAAATGTAGGAAAAATGCAAAAAGAAAGGGACACCGTTGACATCATCAGCTCATGAACAGAATCAGCATGGAACATAACATGAAAGCTTCATTGAGTTTCCAGCTTCACACGCTTCATGCCACGCTCGGCATCACTGCAGACTGTTGTGCAGTCCAAAGGTGTCTCGCAACCTCGAACACATCGGGATTGATCGTGTCAACATATCAATTAAGGAATTTAAAGGATGTTTAAGGAATTTTAAGATATTTTAAACCATTGAGGCCGCCACAGTACATTCGCAAGTCTGCCACACCCATGCTGTCTTCTGCATCCTAACCATGGCCCAGGGCCCACATGCTTCGATTTTCGGCGTTCTCCGGGCATTATCCGGGCGTCCTGGTTTCACTCCCGCCTTCACCAGATTCGCCTGGGCACCACAAATGGCCGATCCGGGAGGGCATCGAAGCTCCTTTGACCAGGCCACCTGGCAAGGCTTGTGATGCTTCTGATGCTTCAAACTGCCGCAACGGAGCCAACGGAGCCAACGGAGCCTGGGAAGTATAGTTGCCATTCGAAAAGCTCAGATTGCTCATCTGGCTCAAGTCAGGCATTCCTGAGATGCAGACAGCATGATGCAAGTAGCTCAATACTTTTCAGTGCAAAACTACAGTTCAGGGTCTTCTCAACTGCTGGGTCGCGAACGACAGCTGAATTCAAGGCCAGTAATGCCAGCATTGTCCAAGCCTTTCCTGATACAGAGATGAACTGAGACAACTTGTTAGTGGTTGTGGTGTGATTGCCATAGATTCCAAAGATCTTGAAAGTCACATTGGCATAGAGTCGCCATCTGCAGTCCCCCAGGTTTCTCCCAGGTTTATGTTCCAAAGAAACCGGCCTAGGACTGTGACCTTGAGACCGGAAGCTGTAGATGCTCTGACCTGGGTCATGGCTCCCTGGCTCCATTGCTCCCCACAGCTATGCCTAAGGCTCGCCTTCATCACAGAGGGTCCAGTTGGACCAATCTCCATCAGGTCCCTCTGCTGTACTCACCTCATGGAGCTATCTTCGAGGTAGCAATGTGATGCAATGTGATGCAATGTGATGCAATGTGATGCAATGTGATGCAATGTGATGCAATGTGATGCAATGTGATGCAATGTGATGCAATGTGATGCAATGTGATGCAATGTGATGCAATGTGATGCAATGTGATGCAATGTGATGCAATGTGATGCAATGTGATGCAATGTGATGCAATGTGATGCAATGTGATGCAATGTGATGCAATGTGATGCAATGTGATGCAATGTGATGCAATGTGATGCAATGTGATGCAATGTGATGCCATGTGATGCCATGTGATGCCATGTGATGCCATGTGATGCCATGTGATGCCATGTGATGCAATGTGATGCAATGTGATGCAATGTGATGCAATGTGATGCAATGTGATGCAATGTGATGCAATGTGATGCAATGTGATGCAATGTGATGCAATGTGATGCAATGTGATGCAATGTGATGCAATGTGATGCAATGTGATGCAATGTGCCATATTCATCCATAATTCATCCATGTATTCCGCAAAGGTTTCTTCAAGCGTCATGTAGTCTGCACAAATAAATATGGCTCTGCCGCTCTTCACTCTTGCTGGATTGAAGAGGCACCTCACTGCCATCACTGCAGCGGAACTTCACTGCATTGACTCCACTGTCGTCAATCGAAGGGTGGGCAAGCGAAACCTCAGGCAGTCAAAACTGTTCCCTACAACTCCACACTGAAAACAGATGAAAACCGATGAAAATGAAGTGAAACTGTTAGTAATTGGTAAACCGGCCTTCATCTTCTTGATTTGTACTCCGGTGGCCTGACGGTGGCCAACACTCACGTTGAAGGGCTACAAATTGGAGAAAACAACTGAGGCACGAACGAAGCTGCTCGGAGGGCAGGTAGCTCCTGCACCCCAATATCCAAGACCTGCAGAGGGTCGAAAGTCAAGGTGACCAAGGTGATTCCAGGATCAAAAAGGATCAGAAAGGCATGACTGGGATGATGAATGATGACTGCCTTTCATGTTCTCAGGCGTCATGACAGTGGACACATCTTCACGCGAGATGGTACCAAGGTCATAGCCTGCATGTTGCGAGTGGCAAATCCAAGTTTCGGAGTAGCAGAGTAGCAAGCAAAAAAAAACAAAGAGTCAGAATAGTCAGAAAAGAGCAACAAAGGACTCTGTCACCTATACGAGCCAAGCGGAAGTACTCTTCCTTGGTCATGAACTTATCCTCCGACCTTGACACACTTTCGGTGCTCTGGGCACAGAGGTCAACCATGGTCAGCGGGGAATCTATGAAATTCTATGAACATCTGCTTCAAGATCTGAGTGCCCCAAGCGCCGCACTGGTGGAACCTCTGCCACAGTCTTTCAATCTCATCTGGTTTCTTTTCTTGCCTTGCGGGTTCTATGCGACCATACAATACCATACAGGGACCATACATGCAAAATGTCGAAACATGTCGAAACCACTCATCCAATCCATACTGTGTGGCAACTGTTCTGCCCTTTGATGTGCCTGTCTTTCAGTTCAACACT